GGGGGGGGGGGGGGGGGGGGGGCTTCTTATTCCCTCTTCTGCCCACGCTTCACCTCTTCACGCACCTCTCTTGCCACATTCATACACTCAGCGGCACCAATGGCCGTCAGGACATGCCACCATCCATGAAGCTCAAACAGCCAAGCCCACGGCAGCCCAAGTTGTTGTCTAATGTTCCTGAGGGTGGCGCAGTACTCTAGGTCGATATTCCAGAGAACATATCCAAGCAAACAGATAAAGACTGCTCTCCAAGTCTTCTTATTCCAGTCACGGGTCTTGGCTTCGGGCAGCGCGGGTTGTAGCCAATAGAGCAAGTATTGAGCTCGCAAGATGAGTACAAACAAGCATGAGACAAAGGCGATGACTTGGTAGATGATGCTCGGCGACTGCAGGTAGAATACGGCAAAAGACGCGAAGCACATGGCAAGGCTGGCGGAGATGAGGCGAGATTTAGTTGGAGATTGTCCCGTCGTGAGGGTGGCCTGGAGCATGGCCCAGGTCAGTCCGAGCATGGAGAACTCGTCGGCAAACTCGAGCGTCTGGCGGAGACTGGCGTGGAACAAGAACGACCCAATGCCCAGTACCAAGAGGGAAACGGACATGAAGTCGAGCCTCGGGGCGAGCAATCCGCCGCTGCCAGGACCGTACATGTATCGGAGCGCGAGATGGACTGATGCAAGAGGGGGGGGTTCTTAGCACCACGCACCGCATAAATGGGCGTCAGCCGCCGCGCATGGAAGACATACCATAGGCGAGGTTCGTCAACGAGTTGATAAACTCGGCCACGTAGAAGGTCAAGGCGTAGTCCTCTTCGCAGAAACTGTCTGCTCGTCAGCACACTCGAGCGCGGCCACGGCTTGTTCTGGTCGCGAGACGCGCCTCACTTTGCTCGGCTGGTTGGCGGGCTCCAGGCTCCCCGGAGAGAATGGGCGTCGCCGTCAAAACGAATATTATGGTGGCCCATCTTTGCGCGCGAGGTTCGGGATCGATTGGGCTCTCTGGTGGTGTCGGGGAAATGTCAATGGCTGGTGGAAACATGATGCCCATCTGGATCGACATCTGGACCTCCAGCCAGGCCTGAACCCGGTCCATGCCATTTGATGTCAGCACTTGAGCAAGCGGTCAGGGCCCTGTCAGCCGCCCGTGGACGGCAGAGGCGCCAGGCCCAGTCACCATCACAATCACATCCCCGCCCGTGCCTGGTTCAACGGTGACTGGTTCGCTTCGGGTTTGCCTGCACCATGGCGTTGCTGGCAGCCAATCATGATGCCCGCCACTGCAGCAGAAGCTTGCGAACCGCTTGCGAATCTCGGCTCAGGCGGCCAGGGGCTGAGGTAGACGAGTTTCCGCATTCCGCACTCTTGCTGGAGAATCTACTCGCCTCTCAGGAGAAAGACGACGCTTCAACGTCATCACCACAATTAACTGTCAAGCCTACGGAGTACTACTCTAGGCATCGACATGCGATGTGAAAAGTGGGGCGTCGCACAACTTAGCATCGCTTCCATAGATTTTATGGGTCGCCTAACTAATTGGGCACCATGTCCCTATTTCATTGGCTCACAGCCACTTGGTTCAAGGGTAGCTCACTGATAACTTCCAGATATTAAATCCTTCAAGAAACAAGATGTTACTCTGTATCCATTTAAGCTTGTTTCTCAATGTCTGACTCCGTACGGAGCACTTCCAAGCAAATTACCGTGGCGCGTAATGGCCAATTCGAGACACATGAAATTGTTTCGAATCGCCGTCTAGCACCATGGCTACTGGAAAATTAAACCATGAGCACTGCGAGAACAATCTTGATGAGCTTGGCGCAACTCGCCGTTCATCGCCGGGGTGACCCCTGCTAATAGTCCCATCACCCGGGTGGACATGGCCATTTGATGTTCCTCGAGATGCCAGGCGAGTATATGGGATTCAAAATGATCGAGGTACGAGGGAGATACCGGGGCTGGACACCACGGTACTTAGCATGCAACAAGGTGCTCCCCAAGAGGCAATACTCGCAGCTAGTCAGTTCTTCAAGTCCTCGCGAATATGTGCAAGAATTTTTTTTTTAAATATATAATTATAGATGCTTGGTTATTTGGTGGCTGGCTTACTATTAGTCGCAGACATGCAGTCTTCAGCTCGCCATACGCCGCAAACTGCAAGGTGTGACGTAATATTTCGTCAGTCACGGGCCGCAATCAGGAGAGTCCATGTCTCAAGAGCTTCGAATGTGCATAAAAGGCTTTACCACGCAAATGTAACCTTGGAAGCACAAGAAACGGCAGCAAATCGTCTCGGCTATTTGAATCCTAGGACTCGACGTTGCAACACTTGCATTGCAGATCAGTTGTTCCCCGCGTAAAGCACGATACTGCCTTGATCTTGATGTTTGCTCACAGGTTACTTGCACCACGCGTGGCATGAAGTACCCCCAAGAGGTGGAAAATGTCCTAGCGGTGCTCATTATAATAAGACACGCGCATGTAGATGTCAAATCCCCCCGCAAATCCTTCAGTGGGAGCTATGTGCCATCTCAAGATGATTCGTACAAGCAGTGGAACATCATACATGCACTACCTTGTGTAACCGCACTTCATGTTAGGCATGGATCGTTAGAGTTTCGCCCGTCACTGCGGCTATTTTCTTACATGTCACCTTGCCGCTCCCCTTGACCCCTTCCAGGTGACCATCCAGATCTCATTTGGGGCCTTTCTGTCAGGCAGAGTCAAGTTTGGGACTAATGGAGAGCAGATTGGTACGTATGTCGCAGTTGTGGGCTTTCGTACATCGTATATGCGAGACGTGATGTACGCATATGCAGAAAGGAACCGATCCCCATCCGATGCCAAGCCGCACATATGGGCTGTTGCCATCTTGTGATAACGGACGTTTCTCATCCATCCAGCGCTCGACGCATGCCACGTTGGTGCATAAAGTTGAATGCTCCTATTGAGTCTATGGTTATAAAAACGAAAAGCGAGAAAGCCCCATGTTTAAAGCAAAAATTTTTTTGCTCCTGCTAGCCGACACATATATACATGAAAAATGCATTGTATTAACTTACAATACAGGGCTTAGCATAACTGGTTACTCCGACCCGTTTGTGTGCACCGAGAAATAGCGAACGATGTTTTCATCAGATACCTGAATTCTGTAGTACGGCAAAAGAAACCTACGCTGCACAGTACATTGTCTCACCACAGCTGAAGTCGTTTAATCACTTTGCATGTCAGGCTTGAATGGCGTCTTGAGACATACAAAAGAGGAACCCTACCCATCCAAGATGCCGTTTCCAGCACGCCATTTCAAAGCCACCGAATAGCGGTTACAAGGCCGTCATAAATGACAAGCTCGTAAACCTCGGTCCATAGTCCAAGATTTCCCCCTACCTGCCGAACTTGCATCGACTCGCAGGCCCGTCGTCGATCACGAGCAATTGTTGCCAATCACGGTGGGCACCGGGGTGCAAAGCCGAGACACGATAGATCACGTTTCAGTGCATGTGGACATAAACGAGAAATACACGTAAAAAACTTCGGCAGTACTACCAGAATCACATGGCTCTCAGCTCATCAAGCTACCCGCTTCTCAGACCGGGGCGCAGGAAGTGTCCAAATGGCGCATTATACAAGAGTACCATGTCTCTGGTGTTTGGCTGAATGCTAGGCCACTCGCAAATATAAAGTCTCTCCGCGGCATCCTCACATGTAGCATGACAATAGACACCCCCAACAAGACCGGCGTCTCCCAGTCTGCCACTTTCACCAAGCAAATAATGGACAGCTACGACAATAAAATCACCAAACCCGACAAGACACAACGCGGTGTAGTCGATTGGATGATCAATGCCAAAAAGGGCGGGTTCGATTACGACACACTGCCCTCCAAAGGCAGCCCCAGCCAGTTCGTTACCATAACAAAACAGGAAATGGAGGCAAATAAAGTGCTTAAAGATGCGGGCTGGGAAATGGTAAGCCACTCAACCATAGACAATCAAGTGAGCTTGCCCTTTGCCATTTAGCGAAGTAAAAGCGACTGCTAAGGCAGGATAATAGGGCAACATCTCTGTGCCTATCGGCGGGAAGGATGTGATATTTGTCAATGTTCAAGCCCAGATTGGTGTCAGCCATACACGTTATACATTCTCGCATGCAAATGTGGTAGCCGACAAGAAGGTCGGCAAGAAACTCATCCAGAAGGCAATGAATGAGTCTATGGGGGATCAAAAAAGTCGTTGGATTGTAGAAGTAACCCCGGGCAGCTATAGGATTCAGCTTGACAGGCCAGGGTAAACTTGCTAAGTTAGCATTTTGATTTAGCTTTCTTCCATTTTCAGTATTTGTCCATGGGTTCCGCAGCAAGTACTCAGAAGACAGAATAAAGTCATACCGACCCCCTCCTGCCTGCACTCTTGGCCGAGTCATAGTGCTCGTAGTTTAATTCAATACCTTCCATGGAAGGTATTTTTCATTCTCTCATATCGTTTTTGTCACCCCTGTGTCGCAAAAGTACGACTGGCTTAATTGAAACTCTAGCGTATGATTTGTGTCTGCCACCCCATACCCATATAAAAGATTGTTATAAAGCTATTATACCGGGGAAATATTAGCTCTCCCTAAGCCTCTTTAAGCACCCTAACCCTTCAGCCCTACGAGTAATAACAGCCAGATCTTGTTGACCTATATTGGTAGGCGAGAGCCAGGGTAATAAAATATATTGCCAGTACGCCGAGCTGACTGTTGGCCTACATAAGATAATGGCTGCTTAGCCAAGTGGCGCTTTCAGTCTTTATCACGTAACCATTCTATCCTCTTATGTTTGGCTCACCAGGTCACAGATGATATGGCCATTGAGGGCTAGGAAACCGGTGTCTAGATTCAGTTTCCCAAACGCTTAGTGTACTAGAGAAGTGATGAGACTTCGGGCCGATTTGCGGCTGGGACACAAGAATGGTTAACCGCAACATAACATGCTGGAAGCAAGGCTCGGAAATGCATTTCCAATCGGCGTTTATCGAACTAAATCTTGGCGACATTTACTATTGGAGCTTGGCAGTTTGCTACAGTGGCATCCAGAACTCTACAATCAACACACGCTGTTAATCATAGTGTTGACCTGTCACACGGTTACGCGAGGGCTCCAACCACGGGACTAGGGCACCAGTCACTCGCCGATTTCTTGTATAAATAGAGCTCTTTGATCACGTAGGCCTTGAGGAAAACCAAGTACCTTCAGTACCAAAGACTGTTGTTAGATGAGTCAAGCTATTGCTCCAAGCCCTCATTGAGCCCTTGTCACGCGTTGAGGATAATGGCTTAGGGCATGTCAGCAATGTTGGCATTTTCAACAGCGGCATACACGCGAGGGATGGGTGCTTGATCCAGGAGGACTTGGAATCAATCCAAGAGCTCCCGAGTTTTTTACAAGAGTGTCAAGGCATTGTCAATGAACCCTCAGAGATGCTCAGTCTCCGATGGAACGAGTCTCTATCGCCTGCTAAATGTGCGAGCCCTGCCAAGAAAAATAAGGCGAAAAGTCCAAAGTCTATAGTACGGCGCAAGTGGGGATAACATGAAGTCTTCTTGTGCGTAGTTGGATGCATTTTCGACAATTTGTTCGTAAAGCAAGTGTTCCCATGACATGGCAAACGGCTTATAATAATGGTGCCAAGTATGCAAAAATTCTCGTGCGGCAACAAGTGTTTGACCACCCGTTATACACCTTATTCGGGCTAGCCTAATTTAAATGACTTGGGTACTCGGTAAATACTCACTTGTATGGCCTCCGACTGGTCAGAGTACCAACTACCTGACGTCCCGAGGCTCGAACCACGTAGCCCCTGGCTGGACGGAGCAATCCCTGAGTGGTGAACCGACTCAAGCTGAGCTTCCCCGCGTAGGGAGTGAGTGACGTGACATGACAGATGCCTAGATCCTTTGACATTGGGCCATTTCCGTCCAACACATCCTGCGTCGACATCTTGAACTCAGCTGAAGCTGTGTTGTTGGGGAAGAGATCAATCAAGGTAGCCGGGCCCGGTACAAAGGTCGGCCATTTGTACATCTTTTTGAGGCCGTGAGACGGGTCTCTGATAAAGGCACCAAACACCTGCTGCAGATAGAGAGACGCCCGGATAGCAGCTGCATGGTGGTCCCGAAAGTCGTTCTGCGCAAGCAGCTTTTATGTATCCATCAGAATAGGAATATCCGCTACTAAATCATGAGAAATTGTCCTCATAGTGCCAGTTGAAATTTGAAAAAGGTAATGCTTACCTTGGTGGTATGCCCAAGGAAACGGCGTCACAGCAGGGGAAACGCCAATTTATCGGTATATAGGCACACGATGGGAATATCTGAACCTTTTCTCTCAGATTAGCCAATATCCGTGTATCACCCATGGTCATTCGACTAACCCTGCTTCGAGTGCCATGTTGCAGTTAAAAATGAGTGCCCGTTGCCAGATCAGAAAGAGTTTTGTTCACGCCACACTTTCCAGTCCAGCTCACGATAGAGTCGCTTTCGTTTTAAGGTGTCCCACTAAAGTTGGCTGGTTTTGAAAAAGAAACCAGCAAGGCCAGGAGGCAGAACTACTGTATTGGAAACAGCATTCGCTTGCAATCTTGGCAAACTTGCCTGCCGAGCCACGGTTGACATATTCCTGCATCGTGAACAGAGTGACATTGTCCACCATGGAAATCGAGCTCGGCCCACATTCTCTGCAATAACCGCCTCACTTTCATGTTTACACCCACAACAAACCCAGACACATCGGCTGGAGGAAACCACCAGACGTAAGCCAATTGGGTGAGACGCCAGGCCAGACAGACACCGATCGCTGCGGGCCGGGCCGAGTCTGGCAGCCAATAGCAAGTTGAAGCTTTATTGTTTGGTCATTCGGGCCAGCGCAATGGGCATACCCGGGTTTGATATTCTCAGGTACGAAATATCTCCCCTTGGACATCATCGCAAGCAAGCCATCACTTTGTTCCGTTGGCTTTGCAAATACATCTCCCTGCACATTCCTTAATTACCCGGTTTAGGTTCCTATAACTATACCCTATCCCCTTGTTTAATGTCACGCTACGCACATCACTCTTCCATTAAAAGGCCAACTCAGAGGCAATATACGGGAACAGCAATAACCGGGCTCTCTTATAACAAGTATCCTTTGACTATGCATAGCCTTACCAGACCTGCAAACTGAGATACTAAACCGGCGCTGACCGAGCAAAAGAACCAGGGTGGACGTTGATACCGAGGACTACAGATCTCAATATCCCGCCTCAGTACACAGTGCAGAGCCCGACAGAAACGCCTAGAGGTTCTATAAACCGCTATTTACTTCAACGGGAAGGGCTATAACACTTGAGGAGGATGGTATCTTCTTGGGCTGGCATCTTTGAAAGGCAAGGATTTACCAGCTCCCAGACACTTCTCCTTCACTAAGCAATATTTTATTTTTTGAGGCCGAGCTAAAATCTCTTGCCGTTACACCAACTGATTTCTACTCCTTTTGGCATTAGCTATGCCCGAAGGTGGTTACGAGGATGCGAGAGGCGTCACAAGAACCATTGCGTCCGGGGATCTCAAGGCAACTCCGAAAGCGGCTTATACAAGTTAAACAAACCTGTACTGTACAGCCGAGCTATACGTGGAAATGAGACCCGCCATGCAACACTGAGCCAGTTCTGGGACTCCTCAACCGTGTTCAGACTAAATGCACAATCCATCTTATCCTCCTTGGTTATTCAATCATCAAACTCCTGGCAAGAGTGATTCAAGGCTTTATACCATCCTCCCCTCCCGTCGGTGGCAGCTCGCTTACAGCGCCCAGTACACCACGCGCATGGCCGTTTGGCTGTGAGGGGAGCTCGGAAGGCTCTTGCGGACTTCCTGGACGGGACCATCGAGATGCTACATAGCTAGAGGGCTCTATGGACGTGGCCATGCTCGGTGGCGCCGCCGTACTGCTAACGCTGTACAATCTTGCATCCTGAGTCATTTTAGATTGCCGCCGCTCTCTTCGGCGGCGAACAACCATCCTGCCGACAAGGAACCACCCAAACAGCAGAAGGGATACCCCTGCGACACTGCCAACAACAATGCCGGCGATGGCACCGGCAGACAGAGTCGGGCCTGGGACGGGTGGTGGTGTGGGTGTGCCGGTTGGGGAAGCTACGTGGCGAGTTGGAGAACGCGACGGTATCGTTGGTTTTCGCGCCATCAAGTCCTGAAGAGGCTTATTGCCCGGGTCAAATCCCCCCTTGGGGCTCGTGAGCGTTGCGCCGCCGGATCTATCCCCACCGACAACGCCGTAGACGTCAATAGGGACGACGTTGTCGGTGACGTTTGGATCAAACAGCGCCCAGTACGTCTTGTTATCCCCTTGATTATGGTATGTCCCTGTCCAAAAGTTGTGTTGCGCCCATGCGTCGACGGCAAGATCGCAGGCATTGGTATCCGTGTAGGTGCCCCCGATTACGAACAGCTGCGACATCGACTTGACCATGTTGCAGGAAGCACTGTAATGGCCATATGCGGGTGGCAGTGTGGCATTTCCGTGGTGGTCCGGATACGCCTTGACCCAAGTGAACGAGGGGAGAGTCAAGATGTATATGTCGTTGAACGAGGTGGCGTTTACGAGCGGAGGCGGCACACTCAGGCCTCCCCAGAGGTAGCTTTTGCTTTCTCAGTATGGCCAGACGTCTTTGTGTCCTTGACCAAGGATATTGGCTACAACTTACATATTATAGCTTGATCTGTCGGGCGCCCATGCCACGTCCATACAAAACTGGCGTCTATTCTGCGGAATCACACCGGTTGCTGCCTGAGTCGACCATGAGTTGCCCGTGGCATCAAACACAAAGATCTTGTCGAATGGCTGGGGGGCCACTGTTCCGCTGCCAGAGTTACTGACAACACCGCCCATATATACAAGCAGTCCCTGGGTATCACCTGCCGGGATCCAAACCATGGCGCCTTCTGCTCTCGTGTTGTTGTCTGGGCCGGCTGCCTGGGTAAAGGTGCCCGTCTCGTAGGCGTACGAGTAGAAGTTGGAGCTCATTGTCCTGGACTCACTCCATCCACTCATAGAGGCATTACTTACCCATCCTCCGTAGTAATACCCATTGCCCGTCTCCGATACCCCGACTCCTGCGCCATAGGAGGCTATCTCTGGCGGGGGATTGATGCTGGGCGCCCCAAAGTCATCCCACGTGTCGTAAAGAATGTCGTAGCTTAACAGGCGATAAGGTTCGCGAGCGTAGCCAGTATTCCAATCCCCACCATAGAGATAGAATCTCTTGTTGACATCGTCACCCCAGAGAGCCCCTCCGCTTACGGTTGGGATGCTGCAAGGGTTCGCGGTCAGTATATCCCGCCACTACGAGTTTTCAAGTATGAAAGTCATTGAAAGGTGTCCATGATCGAGATGATCCTTCTGTGAAGCATGAATGAAAACAAGACACGAGGACTGACTTGCCTGTTGTTCTTACTTAAATTGATGGTCAAATTGGGCCACAGCTCGCCGCCTCTAGTTACTAGTTTATTAAGATCATGATATCCGAGCCAAGTGTCTTTGATGCTGAGTTAGCCACAAATTTCTTGTTCCGTTTCATCTGCGTGGTGGTGTTTGACGCACTGGAATAGTTTTGGTGGCTTCGTTGAAAGTCGTCGAAATTCACCCAGCCGCCATCGATATATAGCTTGTCATCAATGACCACTGTCTGGTGTGCGAATCTGCGACAAAAGTTGTCCCTGGGGTTTTGAGGAGTGACGAGACTCATACCGGACAGCAAAAGTAGTGCCATCAGCGGTTGTTTTTGCCGGCCCAGGCATGATTGCGGACGGATCATGGTGCATACCGACGCAACCAGATGCGCTCCCAGAGATGTCATCATCAGGGTCTGTGAAGCCATCTCGGAGGAGTCAAGTGTTGGATCAACAGGAGTAATATTGCACCGTGCACCGACGATCGCCGGGGCATATGCCGAGTTTCGAAGCTGCCCCAGCAACTTGACATGGAAGGTCGCGGCGGCCACATATGTACATGTTGTATCAACACCAACTGCATCCGATAGTTGGGCGTGATAACGCCACTTGGTTGATTATGATGTCCGTGCCGTCTGTATTGAGTTTATTCCGCTGCGTCAGGTGCCTTCTAGTTCAGTCCTGTCCGTAGTGCCGGAAGGTCATGTCCTGCTGTTCTGCCATCCTCATACCGCCATGAAATTTGGTGGCGCCCATGGCAAAGAAAGGTTATGTAGCTGCCCCGTATCTTAAACGCCATCAACACACAGGCAGTTAACAGAGGTGGCTGTCAGGGCATTCCACCCGGAAGTCGGTATGTTCCCAACGCTTCCAGAGACAAGCCATCATGACACTGTGAAACATGGTCGCTGCAAAGTTTGGTTCACCGCGCCGTGTTTGATATTGTCTATTCTTCTCCATGTATAGCACAAAGAATGCTCGTGTCGAGAATAGAGCCGTGTACAGTACTTGGCAGTATCCGGCGATGATGTGAACCCGCGAGAAATGGTTAGCTAGCTGTAGTTCTGGGCCACCATGCCGCAGCTGGAATGGATCTCATGGTTCTCGATTTCCGTCGGCAGCAAATCCCCGCCATGGCTTGTTGTTGGCTTGGGGCACTCGGAACCATCAAAAGCCTTCTGGTCCTGGACCAACTGTGTACAAGGGTATCTAATCTGCCTCCAGCGCTTCTAGCCAATCATACCGGTCATCAAGAATATGATTCGGCGCATAGAAGGCATCACCGTTTTGCTGTAGCTGAAGCTGTAGCTGAAGCCACGGCGGCGCTCTACTCATCAGCCGCCTACCTACTCCGGCCAGGCCGGGAATGCGGTCTTGACCAGCCGTTTCAGCCTCAGCTGCGTCTCGCCAGACGAACATGGTCGAGGTCGCAATGGCACAGAGAAACAGTGTACTATGCCTATATTGAGCTGAAAACAGTTTCTCTAGGTCGTGATTCATTGTTACTTGACATTTATTGCGGCAGCCTGCCACAAGCTTCTTGGCTACCATGTTTGTTAGCGGTGAGGCTGGGGTGGAGTGCAAAATTACTTTTGAAGCGGTATCCATGAGCCGCAAATGCTGGCTAGAAGAGGAAAAGGTCATTCACCCATCTATGGCGGCTATTCTACGGGACGCTCGACCAGTCCAGCCTTGGAGATTACCGAAAGCTCTCCCCTGCCCATGTTGCGGAGCCGTGCCCTGCCCAGAGCATGAGTTGTATTGTATTACGTTGGCATAGTAATTGTAATGTCGTACAAAATGAACACACTACATCTAGGCTAAGTTAGCCTCTTGTAGTTATAGCCACTATATGGACAGAGGGGCAGGTATTATACCCTTGGGCTTGGGTATAATCTAATTAGCATTTCAAACAAGAATGGACGGATGGCTCAACAACACATTCCAACGGCCAACTCGGTTTACACCCCCCGCGGTGTAGTCGTGGTAAAAGTGTGTCCAAAGGGGTTGAAGAATCCGAGGCGCAGGCTACTGTCACTTATCTTTACATGATTTTGCGCGGAAAATTCGGCACTCGTCACAAGTTGGAGCCTTTGATCACATAAATAGCGAGAGTGAACATAGCTTTATGAAGTTGCTACCTGGAGTCCGTATTCGATTGCCGCTTGAGAAATCTCCCATGAATTAAACGATATGACTCTTGCAACTACTTTGGCGTTGCAACAGGCTCATGATACCTTTATTCATAGAGGCTGCCTTTAAAAGCCTAGTCTAGTACATGCTGAAGAAACAATAGTGCTGTATTCATAGAACTTTCACTTTGCGTCGCAGCCACTGAACATTGTCTGTCTGTCACAACTTGGAAGCACTGGTCTAGCCAGGTAACCTTGGATTTCGCTCAAGGCAAACAAGGGCTACCTCACCCACAGTCCACTCCGCTGATTTTGTGTAGCCCAGGATGATAACGAGAAATTGTTAGTCAAGGGTGCTAATGCTTGTCTTTTAGACATGAACTTCCCAATAATTAAGATGAAAAAAAAATTATACTAACAAAGAAATAGTGACCATGGGACACACCCCGATGTGACGAGCTCTGATACCAGCCTTACCATCAACCCCACCAAAATTGAGTGAGTAGACAACTTTAGGGCCTTGATTATGAATGTTATTAAATTATTGGAAACTATTAGAAACGTTATTGGTATTATGAATGCCTATATACTTACCTCCTTCCCAAGCATGTCGTGTACAAGCTCAAGCTAATACAAACACACGGGTTAGGGGCGGCCCATTCGAGACTGAGAATCTCAGAGAGGCGGGCACAAAATTGCAAGAAATCAGTAAGTTTATCTGACTATTTTAGCTTAAACTATAGTAGCTTACGAATCCCGTTACATTACAGGCCATGAATGGGGTGCGAGCACGGGCCGAGTGCTATCGCGTATAAGTCGCCCGAGAGCGAAGATATCAACTACTTCTGTGCAGATCTAAGCTACCTGAAGAAATACGAGGTAGTTTCCAAGGAACTCAAGGGCTGTTAAAAGCCCACTACTCATGACAAGACCTTCAGATACTGCTCCTGGGATCATGTTGTTCACTCGTGTGAAGCGCAGGTCTTGATGGATTACAGCTACACCTTGTATCTTGGAATTTCTTTTGCCCGTGCTGCCTCTTGGCCTGGTGGCTCTTGTTCTGTGAATTAAGTCTGGCAGATGTGCAGTATGATCTTCCTAAGCCGGCAAGTGATTATGTTGAATTTATTGAAAGCCTTTTCGGAGTGCTCCCTCCAATTCTGAATGCGTGGGCGTGAGACTAATTATGGCAAGCCTGAAATTGGCTGGGTTGGCACAGGTCCCGAGCAGCGTAGGAGTACATGTAGGATCAGGCCGCGGAACGTTATTGCAAATAGATTAGAATGGGTTTCACCCATGTTTTCGAGTGCCTTGTTCGACGCTAACATAAGCTTGGAGATGTCCATAACTTCCTTTGACTACAATGATACTAGTGGATATCTATTGCGCGTTTAATATTAGCCGCCTCTGGCTGTTCACGCATTAGGGGAGACAGACACCGAGATAGTAGCGTGGCATAATACCTCAGTATTCCGCACTTTAAGTATATATTGCCGCCTTATTAGCTCCCCAAGTATTGATTCAAAACTATAGTCTATTCAATTAGTCGCTCAACCACACTCCCACTAAAATAGCACCTCCCTAAGGGGTGGTAGCAGCTAAAGCAGCCTGAAGCCACCGGAATTTAGCCTGCTATTATAATCCATAAGAGGATGTCAGTGTGAGTGCCGAGTACCTTCACATAGCAAGCCGTAAACAGCCGGCAATGGTAGCCAAAACGAGCCATAGGTAGGTACTATTCATGAACTACTATCGAACATTGGTTCGTAGCGCCTTTACAGGCTATTATGCGATGCTGGTTTTGATTTCATCAGGAGCAACATCTCTATAGCAATGAAGCGAACATGCAGTAATTAGAGAGGTCACACAAAGTCCGCGTAATCCTCTTTGAGTCATGGAGTGGTGAGGTGATGTTATCCTTATTTGTATTCGGGAAAGCTCCAGGAGCTGCTCAAGCTTGCTTAGCTTCGCTCAGGGACTGCTCTGGTTAAAGCAGCCACAGCTCAGGAGCCCTTTTGAGAAAGGCAACTGGGTTCGTCTTGATTAGTGTTTTGTTGTGCTGTTATGCCTCACCCTTTTGAGGAGTCTCGGCGCACTGTCCGGATTTCCACGTTACATGAACAGGTTCAGAAACTCATTGGAGACGAAGAATACCCGGGGCTGGTTGGCAAAGGCAGTCTCCCTACTTGCTCGACTAGGCGCCATGCTTCTGAAATAATATGTTGGCAGGTCGTCCTTCTATAACATCGCCAGAGAGCTAAAAGGATATCAGAACACTTCTTCCTAGTTCTGCGTGTTCTTTGACACAGGAGCAACCTTAGAAGGGGTGTTGGTCGGGTTCTCGGGGACTCACACGGTGGAGTTGGAACGGTCAAGGTCAATATCGAGGGAAATGGCGGTACGTTATTGCTATAATTGAGGGGAAAGTTTTGACCAGAGAGCCGCCACCAAAGTAGGAACATGAGGTGTTATGAATCATGAAAGCCGCACTATGCGATTCCAGCGTACGTTTAATGAGGCCAGTGTTCAATATTCGAAGGGACTTTCGCTTGGCCGTAATACAATCCGATCCTGGAACAGGTATATTCTCGTTGTTTGCAGCCTGTGAGGCTGTACACTTGTATTTCAATAATAAATATTTGCAGTGTCTTCCTATTACAAGAGGTAGTTCAACGCTCTATGGCCAAAAGAGTCACCCGAGTATGAATATCAACAGTCGAAAACGAGGATCGCTTCGTACAATCTTGAATATTTCCCAACAGATCGTATTCATCATGCATCAGCTACCCCCCATCGCCGGACTCGTGCATAGCCCTCTACTCTATGCGAGTAGTCCTCCCATCCACCCCCCCTTGCCTTGGGGAATGGTTGATCTGAAATTTTGCGCCCTGTGAACGGTATGCTGTCTCCTACGCAAGGGAGAGATGCCTTACCCAGAAAACTGGCCATCCTCATATCCTTGAACTTGATGGCTCCTTTTTCAGCATCCGGATAGATTTGAACTTCGCCAATTTCTTCACCTTTCAGACGCAGATAGAAGGTCCTTAGCGGTGTCTTTTGGTTCTCGACCAATTTTGCTTGCTTCGGCGGGCGCCCCTCGACCTCGGGGGGCTTTGGGGGTCTTTCTTTTCGAATTTGAAGCAGATTTGTTTCCGGTATCTGTATCCGCATCGTCATCGTCGTATTGCTCCTCATCATCGTTCCCAAAGCCCACGGAACCATCACTCCACCGAGATTCAGCCTCTCAATCCAGCTCGGCGCAGTACTGCACCAGGTCGGCCTTGTTGTCACAAATGACCATGGCACCTATGAGCATGCCAAAGTCAAACTTTGCCTCATAGACTCCCCGTTCCTCGGTGGTCCGAATATTCAAGGTCATGTTTTTTGCATCATCTGGCCATTGAGCCTTGATTTCTTCGCAGTCGATCAGATAACTGCGAACTGGGGAGTACTTCTCGGGTCCTCTTTGCCCCTTCAGAGTCTCCGGATAAGCATTGTGCTTGGCTGTTCGCCCGTCATCATACTCTCGATTCAAAGTTTGCACTTCGTTCTTCTCTTTTGCGGGGTGCTCATCTGCTGCTTTTTCACAGCTGCAGACTTCCACCCCATGAAGACGACTTGTGTCTTGGGCCCATATCCCTTTGCGCAGTGCAGACCGGGTACTTTGCTAGCAACCTCGACCATACAACCGGATCCGTAGTTGCTACGTGGCTCGAACGGTATGCCAACTACTGTAGGCCTTTTCTGCGATGCGGTTGGCCAGATCGCAAGAAGTATTTTTCCATAACCCAATGAGGGTTCAGTTGCGAGTTGCCCAGGGGTTCGAGTTTCTCGGTATTCCATGTGCATCTGCCGCTCCAGAGCTCTGATGTGATCTGGTACCTTGTCGCATTGCCCTGCGAGTAGGGCTTTCTTGATCAAAACTGTTCCATTGCCAGAGAATTCCGCCTCGTCAAATTCAACGCCGTAATGCTTCAACTGCCAACGAATAAAGCCCGAGTCGTGATGATTTAGTTTCTGTTGTCCTTCGCGCGTCAGCTTGGGGATGAACATGCGCTGTAGTACGAAGCCGTCGATTCGTTCAATTCGATGTGCCGTGAATTCCCATGCGCAGAGGCGAACCCATCTCTTTTGACAGATTCATCGCGATAGCAAGCCATTGCGGACCCTCCCGATTGCGGGCTTCGACAACTAAGACGCTATGGCGGCTAAACAGGATTCAAGGAACCTTGATGACAGATATCCGAAGACGAAGAAGACAGAAGACGACAAGTCAAGTCAAGCCCCAGTATCTGGTTGTGCAGCGTCATGTGCGCATTATCGGAAATAAAGACCCATGTGAAGCCCATTCTTGAAAGATATTTCCAAACAGGTGTATAACAGTGAGCTGGCGCTTGAGGAGTGCAGAAGACAAGCAAGCTATGTGTGGCCATGTCGAGGCCTGTCTTGCGCGGTTCAAGTGCTGTTTGTTACTTTCCATGTGAGTTTGTTTCTAGAGTTCGGCAGACCAGTTCTTTCTCTTTCAATCAGGATCCTAGCTCTGCGGTCTGGACGTTCGATTCGGGGAGGCGGCAGCCTAAATTATTATCAATAATCACTTTTTCCATGGGGCAAATTCGCGACGTACTACGGAGTACTACTCCGTTGTTCTCTTGAGATATGTTGGTCCCGACATGCGCATTGGGCATCTTGGAAACGCAAACGGGGAAATCATGCATTGTCATCTGATCAGACAGCATCTCGGTGGACCAAACAATTTAAATCCTCGCCACCATGGTCAAGACGTGGCCAATGCCATGTCTATCACGTCCCTCTCTACCCAAGGCACCAATCGCTGGTGCTTCGGAGGGACCCAATTCCAAGCAAGGCATGGTTGCGGCAGGCGATGGCAATCTGGTTGGCTCCAAGCCTCAAAACCCTGACTAGTCAACCATTGAAGCTCCATGCGAGACGGGGGAATATTTGTCTTGTCAGAAATCAACCATGGTACTGCCTCCTTGGAACTTTCGGTCCAGAGTACTCCGTAATAGCAGTACAACAGAACGAGAATTTCTCTCTCTCGTCACGGCCGCGCCTTCTTGTGGCCTCCTTTGTTTCCGTCCACGACAGATTTGTCGCACCATGTTGCATCGTCATGATGCGCAGTTTCTTCTAGCCAGCCCCATATTTCTTTCTTCTTTTCCAAGGTTTAATTGTCGACATCTGTACCATATCTGTCCTTTTTTTTTAACCGCATACGGAGCACCTCATGACGCCGACGCATTGCCATTCGATTCTATCCTCGCTCGTTATCCAGGAATAAGACCCACCATGGGCATCCGCTCATGCTTGACGGCTTCACGCAAAGTAGTACTTTTCCTCGCATCCTCTGCCTTGATTACAACGCTTCTCTATATCGCTCTTCATGTTCAAGGCATTTTCTACCCACATGCTGGAGTGACAACGACCCAGGACCAAATAGCATTCGCGTATAGCAACACACGACCCGAGACCCGAACACGATATATACCTCGCATAATACATCAGATCTTCCTTAACCAGCATGATGCCGCGAATGAAACAATGCCCTCCACTTGGGATGTGGCGCGGCAGTCGTGCATTTCACTGCACAAAGACTGGGAGTACAAGGTGATTTGACGAAGCTTGAATTGGTGCGCTCCTCTCATGCGAATATCTCAAAGGGTCTGACTGTCATCAATTAGCTGTGGACTGAAAAGCCGTCACGAGACTTCATACAGAAAGAATATCCATGGTTTTTGAGGACGTATGACGGCTTCACCTTCCCGGTGCAGCGAGTCGATGCGTTGAGATACTTCCTGATGCGACATTACGGTGGAATTTACATCGACCTTGACAATGTGGGCATATTCGACACCATGGCGACATGCTATCGAGTTTCCTGAGTTATGCCGGCTAATACGATCAATCAATAGGCATGCCGGACCAATTTGGAGCCGCTTCTGTATTACCCAGCATGGCTTATGGACAGGGGCCATGGCGCTTTGAGCAATAACGCCCTGGGGTCGCTGCCGAATCATCCATTTTGGAAATATGTAACTGAGTCGCTACTCCAATACTCGCGGAACTACCCCCTCCCATACCTGGCAGCAAGTTTTGCGCCGGGCAAATGGTTTCTAATAGATGCGTGGCAGCGATACCACGCCGGACTGTCCAAGGAAGACGACCGGCTCACTCGTGTCATGATGGACTCGCGACCAGGATCAGCACCATGGATCTTCTTCACATATGCGGAGGGAGGTTCGCAGTCTAATAAGAACCACGGGTTGTTTTTACCGAGAGTATCGAATTTGTTTACTTTTATGTGCTGCTCGGTTGCCGTTCTCGCCGCCGCCGCCGTTGTTGTTATTGCCGTTGGTCCCGGTGATTGGCGGCTGTCGAAAACATACTGGACGAGACAGAGGTGTCGACACCGGCATTTTGATGAAAGTATCTCTGAGTAATAATAATGATAATAATGATCATGTTACAACTGTGAAAAGTCGCATTATGTGCAGGCCTACGTGGGCAGCAGTACACTGTTGTGTCGATTTGGTGGAAGGCACACGCTGCGCCTACTTCGGCGCCTAGATGAACTGCTGAAGGATTGCAAGTAATCCTTGCAGGGAGCGTCTTGTACCTGGTTCCGACTATGTTGGTACTCAATTCCAAAAACCCCCAGTCCCTTCATGGCAGACATGTTCAAGCCTTTGGCCGCACTTATGAGTGGTTTCGTGAGGCGCGTACGACGGGCCAATCGATACGATGGGACCTGTAGTAAAGTAAATCTGTCACCCAGATCATCCTACCTTTGGCCCACGGCATTCAGACATGTCGATAGGCTTTGCTCCGCCACCCAAAATCCAGCTCACTTTGCAGCGTTTACCGTTTTTCGCAGTTCAAAAATAACAGATAATCTTCGTCCGCTGGAAAGGAACGAGCAACACCTCCCCGGACAAATATGCTACCAGGTAAGCAGATCCCGAGAAAAAGGCATTCGCGACTCTCCGTCGCATGACATGATCGCTCTGCCTCACACCGCATTGACCCGATGTGTGTCGACGGTTCGCGTGGCCAGCCAGGGTTTGAACTTCACATGTGTAGCTGAGAGGCAGGGAACACGACATTAGTGTGTTAACACGATCTCGGACTTGACGTCGACCTCTTGGGAATGCGGCAACTGACATACTTTTTCCTCAGCTCGAACCGGGATCATGTCGACGGATGGTGGGCAAGAACAGACCCAAGTTTGCTCATCGCCAGGTTAAAAAGTTGCGATTGGTGTTTTTTGAGCAGCGGGGTAGGAATAGATCAGCACAGACCTTTGGGGAAAAGAACCCAACCCCGCGCTGGAGGCTTGCATTGTCTCCGCACGACTGCCAGTTGCTGCCAGTTGTCGCTACCAAATCAGGCAGTTACGGCCCAGAGTCCGTTCCTTCCCCGCATAAGCCAGACTGCGCTAATGCACGCCACCTTGCGACTATCCCAGGTTCCAGCCATCAACTCCCACAAACTGGGACGAACTTGTGCGAAAACAGACCTCGGTAGCGAGTGTGGAGTTATGCCGAGCTCTTCTGACTCTTCTTCATATGTAGATATTGGCCTATATACTGAGGCCCTGCCCTGATCTGCGGCAATACGTTCCATCCGAGCTCGAACAAGCTTCAACACCCACCAGCCTCTGATTGAGCAAACATGTCCAAGATTCAGAAGAGACAGACGATACGCCAAAGCGTGTCGTATCCTGCGGGGACAGCGTTCGCTTACAAGGTCCCCGAGGGTTACTTTGGTAATTTGACCGAGGAGCAAGAAGCAAAGGTTCGAGCAATGTGGGCAATTGGATTCAAATTTATCGAGGTTTGTGAGGCCGAAGACGACGCCAGTAAGCAAAAGACCCTCGAGGAGAAGTATGTCCCGCCCGCGAAACAGACCCGGCGACTGCCACGCGGCGCAAGTGAGACTCACGAAAAGCACCCGACGCTAGTCAATGAAATATTGTCACTATTGCCCACCACGGAAAAGAACTTGGACAGGCTGGCACAGCAAGCTGTTGAGTCTTTGGACAACTGGACCCCCGAGATGTACCGGTTAATTATTCTACGAGTGGTCAAGCATGAGCACCCAGACGCGCTTGCTCTTCGATTCCTCCGCGCAAGCAACTGGGATGTCATCAAAGCTACGACCATGATGGGCAAAACCATTTATTGGAGGACAATTGAGGCTGGAGTGGACGACGACATCCTGAGGCACGGAGAAGGTGGCGCGGCGGAAGATGAGAAGAACAACCGAGGAATCACAAGAGCGCTAGGCGCAGACTTTATGAAGCAAGCTCGACGGGGCAAAAGCTTCATTCACGGGGTCGATAGAGCGGGACGGCCGGTAACTTACATCAGAGTTCGACTGCACAGATCATCCGACCAGTCTGTTCAGAGCCTCGAGAGATACACCCTGTACCTTCTCGAGCTGGCCCGCTTGTCGCTGAGGCATCCGATCGAGGCAGGCGTATGTGAATGAAGCCCCGTATCATGGCAAAAGAACGTGGCGACTGACGTATCATTATTGCAGACTATCTTGTTGGACCTGTCCGGCTTCAAACTTGCCAACTTTGATCTAAAACCACTTCAGTTCATCCTCAAGCAAGTTGAGACGAATTATCCGGGCTCGCTAGGGCTACTTGTGGTTCATAACGCCCCATTTGGCCTTAAAAGTACGCACTTTTGCTCACAGGCTTGACGTATCATAACTAACACAAGTGATTTACGCAGCAATCTGGAGACTCGTTCGCCTCTGGCTCAACAAAGAACTCACTAGCAAAGTCAAATTCACATACGGCAAGAAGGGCCTGAGGAGATGGATAGCACCAGATCAACTAATAAGAGAACTCGGCGGCGAAGAAGATTGGGAATACACATACGTGGAGCCAGAACCGGATGAGAACTCCAAGATGAATGACACTGAGACACGGGACCGGCTTCTGGGAGAAAGAATGGTGCTGGCGCTGAAGTTTGAAGAATTGACAAAGGAGTGGGTCATGAATGCTCAACTGAGCGAGAAGGCGAGGGAGATCTGCGACAGGCGAAACCAGTGTGTGAAAGACTTGGCTGCCAACTACTGGGAATTAGATTCTTACGTACGAGCCAGATCACTCTATGACCGACTGGGTTACTTTCGTGGTGCTGATGGTGTGGAGTGGCACCACGGCAAGGCAGATGAGGAGTCGTTGCAGGAGATGATGGAGAAGATCAGGTCGATCGACAGTTGTGGCGCGAGTCATCACGAAGATGTCAGTATTTCCGATGATGAATCATGCTACGACAGTGATTAAGAAGAGACGTGCCGAATATGTATTTAAGCAGGTGGATATGAGCCGTGTTATGATTGTAACGCATTGTTATGACTTACGTTGGAACATGACGTACTACTTTGGCCTTGAATTTGATGAGCACACCAAGTGTAAATATCATTGTACACAATTACCGTCATTAAAAAAGAAAATCACTACAAACTTTTGCCGGATGTTCATCGAATCCGATCCAGACGTTTTCTCCAGACTAAGCTGTTTGCGGCGGAAAACCGTTGCGGGGCCCCGTTTACGCTTCACAACCTCGACTTCGACAATGGACATCTAGCCACGGCTCTTCTCAGAGGTTCGATCCTAATTTATGCAATAAATTATTTTATCCATCTTTCTACGCTTGATGCCATCGTGTCTCTTTCCCTTCATGTCCGGCGTTGGCCATGGTATCTTTCTTCCTCACCATGTGTTACACGCAAGAGGCCCAACAGATCGTGAAGCCCAAGATAGGGCCTCACCGATAAAGGACTTATTCGTTACACAACGAGATCACGAGAACTATGGGGCGCATTAGGCACGGGCCGTTCCTTTCATATATATAAGACGGTCTCCCCTCGCCTTGAGGCTTGAGGAAACCAAAGACCTTTGACACCGTACAAGATTATCACACCATGTCAACGCAGCGGGAATGCCCTAAATTGTCTTGCATGTTTTGACGGCTAATTGATACGAGTAAACATCGTATCGATAAGATATAAACTCCATTTTCGCGACGGAATGAATTCATGACCTGTCCGAACTGTAAACGAAGGTCGTTTGCCGGGACGCAAGACGTCCGCACTCCAAAACAAGAAGCCAAGGCGGTCGCGACCGGTGGCTCTTTCTTCCAGGGTACGGACCGGAATTTTCATGAACATTTCGAATCCTTCTATATTAAATGCGCTTATATATTTCTCCCGCAAAAAGCATCATAGTTGCAGATGTCATCGGAATAAGCTTCCCCGCGCTCGTCTGGAACCGGTGGTCAGATCCTAAGGCGAGGTCGAATGCAGGCAAGGCGAAATAAACACTAAACGTACTCTACACTTTTGAAATGTCATCCCATCTCGCTATTCCAGACTACCTCTTCTAGTCGTGTCTCTGTAGATGCTGATTGAAAGACTAAAGTGGGCGTCGGATATTGGGCACTCGGCGTCTTAATCCACGTGAGATAATATCAGGACATCTATCCCCTCTCAAAATTCAAATAAGAAGCTACAATAAAATGAATATTCACTGGCACGTGAACAGATTCTTTCCTTCCAAAAGGGATGCTTTAGTTTAACGTGAATAAAGGCAGACGCTCAATGATGCATAAAACACACTTGCATGCAAAAGGATGGGCCCTTCTTTGCTGTGCATAGTTTATCACAGCTAGCTCTTGACTTCCTGAAAAGAGATTAGGGAAAAGAAAAATTGAAAACAAAAGATTCGTCGTCTCATGTGACTTCTTGAAGAACTTGTTCCGAACGCATCCGACGACAAACGGACAAAGAGAGGCGTCACGTTTACGGCACCCTCTTTTTGAGGGCGACGGGTGTATAAGGACTGCCTCCTCCTGAAGACAATCTGCGTCGCTTGATTTAAAAATATCTCCACAAAAAATCGAAACTCCTGCAGTACGTTTGCCGTGGTGCGCGTTCATCATTATTGACATTACGCAGACCTATCTCAACTTGGCCACTATTATCTTGACTTTTTTACAAAAAGGAACACATTACGGTTAGTTTCTCTTATGTTATCGTGGCCGATCTTTCCTTGTAGCCAAGTATTATTTGCTCACAAACTTCAGTGTCGCAATGACAGTGCCGTGGACAAAAATTGCAACGGGAGACGGGATTCGCAAGGCGATCGAGGAGGCCCTGAAGCCGGCACCGAGTCATGAGGGGGACGAAAAAAAGTTTTGTTTGAAAGTACACTGGGAATCGAGTGAAATCCAAATCCAAGAATCCGCATCTCGTGAAGTCAATAAGACGACTACTTCTATCAGCAAAACTCCGAAGGAACTAAAGAGACCTTGCCAAGATTGTGTAGCAGAGAATTGGAGTCACACCGGGTCAGATGTGCTGGATGCGATAATGGAATTTTTGGACACGCAGTACAATTTAGGTGAGTAGGGAGAGCTAGGTCTTCGCTACTTCCCATGGAGCCAATTGTGCACCGGTCGGACACCATGACAATGTCTTACTGACTTCTATACCATGGCAGACCTCGACAACCAAGACCGGAGCTACAGCATCAAGTTGAATTGGGACGAGCAGTATGCTCAATATACTGCGGAAATCACCGGAACGCATGAAGATGTTAGGAACATCACCGAACAGCTAGCATGGATGGCAGCCACATTTCGCAACTCAAACGATTCGACAAACGCCACTTCCAAGGTCTATTTCAGCTGGACCAAGAAAGGGAGTAGGATAAGGGCCGAAATAAAGCCTCTACCTCTTGACTCATCCCCGGAGACAAATCCTGAGAAGCTCGTCGACTCAACAGACTCCCCCCAATACATTTTTGAATACGAGGATGTTTCTGTATATATTCAGCCCAAGAAGGAAAACCAAGAGGATTGATAGCAACACTGACATGCTGGGCCAGAGAAGTTTTTCAGAGGCTGATGGTCATGCCAGTTGCTTTTTCTGGGACTCAAATCAAGTTTGAGTTGAGGCGTCACGATGCAGAGGGTTTCAGAGGGTGTGACCAGGTATAATAAAAAGGGTCGAATTTGCGGGATTTTGAGGGGTTTCAACGAAGAAGTGTATAATTACTATCAACATGGTCAACTTCGTCATACATGTGCAATAACCCCCAGCCCTTTCACCGTTGAAGGCTTCTGAAGTCGCTGTGCAAGTTCGCCTCAATAACAAAGATTTTGCATCCAACATGAGCTGAGACTTCTGACATTCCGCTCGAAAGGATCTTGACCTTTGTGAGGTTGAGGTATTCATGTCGTTGCACAGAGTCTCAGCCACTTCTTCTTCTGCCCGTCACCCGGCCCGGGCCGCTAGTGGATCCGGCCATGTGGCATGTGCCATTCGCTACTGGTTCACATCAATTGATTGCATCACAGCTTGGGCTCCTTTTCTTGCACCTCAATCCAGAGGCCTTCAGCCTCGGCAAACAAGCCGCCTTCCCCGTCCTCAACCGTCCCCCTAAGCCACAGCTTTCTTCCACCCGCCTGCTCTCCAGCCATGTGCGGCAGAGGACAATGCTGGGGGTACGCAGAGGCTTCCTATACTTTATATTCAGGGACGCCGTATAACCGGACATTCCCGGTGACCGGTGAAGACCGACGACCATGCCCATGGTGTCATCTAGTATGGTGGCGACTAGGCCACCGTGTGCGACGTTGGTGTGCCCGTTGACACCTCGGCCGAGAAGGGCAAGGAGGCTCACGAGCTCCCCGGCGACAGGGCTATTGGCACCGGTGGTAGCTGGTGACGGCCTGGGCTGCGGCTGCGGCACTTTGTAAAATGATTGCCACGCGCTGATGGTGTCGCCTGTTGCCAGAGTCTCGGCAATAAAGGAGTCCTCGCTACTGGCCTTGGGTTGGCGAGATGGAGTGGCCACGGGAGTTAGATTGGCATCATGGAGGAGCCGCAAGCACCAGGCAGGTGCCGAGGCGGAACCAAAAGTAGTGCGGGCATTTTCAGATAGCGGCTCTGGTCGGATTGCCGGCCTTTCCAAGACGACCATGTTGAGAATTGGGTCGTTGTTGAATCGTCGTGGTTTCTGCTAATTTAACAAGGTGAAAGACATGAGGATGGAGGGGGTTTTCGGGTTTTTCTTGCCGAGGCATAGCTTCGCTGAGGCAATACCCGAGTAGCAGGCGCGAAAATGCTAGCCGTCAGAGAATGGATTCACCCATTGCAACACATGCGAATTGTGGCAATCAATTATTCTGTTTATACATCTAAAGCCAAGTTTAAAAAAGTGCATATCGCTCCCCCATGTTTTGGAAGGCGTGCGCTGCTCCTTCCTGATTCGGGGAGCATCGCTGCGACACAGCTAAAGCAGCCAGCCTCACCCTGGACCGCAGCAGAAGACATAGACCTCGCAACCTCAGGACACGGGCATTCTTCATTGGATTAATTGACTAGCAGCAAAGAATCCATTAGGAAACAAGCCGCCGCTGGCATTGTAGCGAACATGCCGGCCCGTGGTGCTGTGGATCTGGGGCTTTGTCGTGGTGTGCGACCGACTAGCTGCGCTTGACGTCCAGTCGCAGCCATGAAAGACGAGTTGGGGCAGCCTGATGCAATTCACTGTACTCTTGAGAGACTTTCATTCCCTCTGGTTCCTTTGAGAGTCAAGGCGCCTTCGAATGTCGCAGTTCCCCGAATGTCAATGCCTTTGTATCTTTGGCTGAACGCGGTTTAGCGTGTTTGCAACGCGCCCAGTTCAAAATTTTCTTCAACGCTCTGTTGGCACCCTCACCACTTCGGGTAGAAAGAAATGTCCAACGCCTCGGTTGAGAATTCAACATCGGACCTCCTCACGTTGATTATCACGACGTCGCCGACCCTCTCAGCTCCATCTACCGAGCTGCTCTCTGCCGTCCTCACGTCGTTTCGCGCTCATTGCGCTCCATTGTTGAACTGCAGCGTCATTGTCGTGTTCGACGCATGCGAACAAATTACTGCCCATCCGCGGCTCAAGAAAGGCTACGTCACACCAAAGAGCGCCCAAGACTACGACGCCTACAAGAAGAACGTCAAACATCTCTTCCTGCAGGAATATCTGCAGAGCACCTCCGAGCGGACAGAGCTGACAGAATGTTGCGGCGAAGCTGAGTACGGCTCACCATACAGCACGCCGGTTCTTTTCACCACCTCTTCCACAGCAGATGGCCGCGTCACTTTCATCGAGGCCGCGGGTCAGCGCCTGGGGTTTGGTTTGGCAGTTCGTACGGCACTCCGAGCAGTGGGAACTCCCTACGTCTGGGTACACCAACATGACTGGGCTCTCATCCACCATGTCCCAATCGCACATCTCCTTGGCATCATGAGGGCCTCCGAGTTGGACCATGACGATGAGAAGCCCATAAAATACGTCTGTCTGCCCTCTGGACGCAGGACCTCCTACGCTACGTCGGACCAAGTCATGCCGTTTCCAGAGCTACGGAAGCTCGCCATTGCCCTTAGTGGCGATTATATATCGCCCGGGAGCTCCCCACCCGC